GAGGAAGAAGGTGCCTTCCCAGCCACAACATCCCGGCTCCGTGCTCCTCTACAGGCTGGACAGGAAGGAAGGAGGCACTGACTCTGATTCCCCCTGGACTGTCCCTCCCTGAGCCCTGCATGGAGCTGCCATGGGCTCGCGTGGAGCTCGGGGAAGCCAACGCCTTCAAGATGTCAGGGAGGGTCAGCGGAGCCGCCTGCCAGCGCAGGGATGACGGCACACTTGGAAAAGCCATGAGCAAGCACTGATGGACCCCTGCCCACAGCTCCTCTGCCCCACACATGCCTTGTGCCTCTGCCAAACCCCCACAGCCCATTCCCCATGGAGGAATGTGTCAGAAACAGCAACATCCACACGCCCCCCCAGGGCAACAGGAGTCAAAACCAAACAAAACTAAGCAAATAAACCATAATCCACCACGAACTGGAGCTCCTCACTGCTTGGGGGAAGCCAACACCCCCCCACAGCCAGGCCAGCTGGCGCAGCAGTGCCGGGCCTGAGCGGGAACGATGGTGGTGGTGGGGCCCAGGTCCTGCTCTCAGACTCGGAGGTTTGGTGGGCAGGTGCCTCCCACAGTCCAGGGCTCATCAGCAGCAAATCCTCCTGCCAGGAGATGCCAGCAGGGATGGAGATTGGGCAGGGGGATGCAGGCAGGGATGGGGAGCAGGCAGGCCAGCCCCCCCCCCTCCCACTGGATTTGCTGAGCTGAGCAGGGCGGGGAGGCAGCGACGTGCTGCCACGAGGCACTTGTCCTTGCTGTGGGCATCAAATGAGTTAATATTAGCCTCTCGCTGTGCTGATCCCGGGATTACCGCCGTCCCTGCGCACCCCTAATCCCACTGCCTGGCCGGGCAGGGCAGGGACACGCCATGGGGCAGCAGCAGAGCCAACAGCTCCTGCCATGGGGCCGCTCAGCAGCTGTTTGCCAGATGTGGGCAATTGTCTCCAGCATCAGTCCCAGGAGCATCTCATGCAAAACTGGCAGTGGGTCTGCAGCACTTGCAGCCACCCCTTCAGCTCGGGGTGACCCGGTGCCAGCGCAGAGCCGCCCCGGCACAGCCGCTGCTGCCCCACCTACACGCTCACCGCAAAGGAAACCCAGCGCTGCCAGCACCCCTCACACGACCTGCTGCAGGAAGGCAGCTGCTCAGCAATGCCGCGTTAGCACCGGCCTCACTGGGGCCAAGCCCCCTCTGGCATCCATCGATCCCTGGGGCCGGAACCCCCTCCTGCTGTTGGCGCTAGCAGGGAAAACACCAAAGGTTTCCCCATGCTTGTCTGTGGGTTGGCACTCGCAGCACTTTGCCAGAGTGGCCCGCAGAGGCGGAAGGGCTCCCTTCCCCAGCATGCCAGGGGCACCCCGGAAGACACCCGGCACCATCCCCACAGCCAATCCCCTCACCCTGCCAGGAGCCATCAGCCCCACCAGGGTGTCCCACTGGACTGGTGCTGCCGTGTTCCACTGCCCGCCC